CGGGAGTCGCCCGTCCGGCTGCCTTGCCAATGCTCCCGCGAACAGTAGGCGTCGTTGTCGTATGGCTTCAACGCTCTGGCATTCGACCCTCTTCAGCGTTTGGGCGTAAGAGAGTTTCCGGTAGGTGTCTTTCTTGCGCTTGAACCCGATGACTCGGAGGAGCAGTCGGTGGTGTATCGACCGCAGCGTCTGATAGTGGCCGCTGAGTGGTGACCATGTCATGCAGCCGTACAGCAGTGCCTCCATCGCCTCCGCCTGGAGCAGGCGGATCTTGAGTCGGAATGGCGCTTGCGGTCTGTCGAAGAGCTCCCGGCCATATCGCCTGAGGCACGCCCACGCTCCTCTGCTCCTGTAGTTGATCTCCCGGGTGAGGTCGCCATGTTCGTTGACGAGGCCACCGAGGTACCAGAACTCGCTCGTCTGGGCGTATTTCGGTCCTGTGGCTTCGATGGTCAGCGGTGGAGGCGGGGGGGGCTGTGATGTTGCAGTCGGCTTGTCCTTCGCGCGCATCAGGAGCGTCTCCGTCTTCTTCTCCGACACCGTTAGCCCGAACTCCCCGAACACCTCAACGATGATGGTCATCATTCTCGCCAGTCCTTCTGCAGACCTCGATACGACGCCGGCATCATCGGCATACAGCATCCCCCATACTGCCCTCCGTACTCGGTCAAGGGGTGTCTCCTACCCCCCCCGGGCTTCCGTCTTCCCGTCCTCCAAGCACACCAGGCTCCGCAGAACAACATCATCCTCGCTGAATCGGATGACAACGACCTCGAGGACCTCGGCGAAGAAGATGTCGAACAGCAGTGGAGATAGCACACATCCTTGTCGCACGCCCTGTGTCACGAAGGAGCAGTCCGATAGTTCTCCGTCGTCCATGCGCACCCGGGCCCGCATTCCATTGTGGAATTGGCGGATGACTTTGATCAGCTTCGCGGGAATTCCGACCCTGGCCAGCACCTTCCAAAGCACCTCTCGGTCCACCAAATCATACGCCTTCTTCAAGATGACGAAGCACATGTAGAGCGGTATTTTCTTTCTCCGCCCCAGCTCTTGGAGGCGGCGCACAACGAACAGCATGTCGACGGTGGATCGCCCGGGTCGAAATCCGCGCTGTTCCTCCGGGAGGATGTTGTTGGCTTCGCAGAAGGCGCTTAGACGGTTGGCGATGATCTTGATGGGGACCTTGCCTACGTGAGATAGTAGCGAAATCCCCCTGTCGTTGTTACAGTTGGACCGGTCACCCTTCTTGTACAGCACCTTGATGGCTGCATCCTTCCACTCTCGCGGGATATCTCCTCCGTTCCACACTTTGACAAGGATGGTATGGAGGTGTCCCAGGACGAAGGGTTCGTGGTCATCGATCTTGAGCAACTTGGCAGGGAGGGAGTCATGGCCGGGTGCCTTCCAGTTCTTGAGGCCGTTCGTTGCCCGTGCCACCTCCTCGAGGTCTGGCACCTCTCCCAACCGTTGAGTGTCACGTGTCGCTGGCCGCTGCGTCACTCGTTCGATGATGTCTGGGTTCAGGGTGGGGGATTTGGTGTTGAGTAGAGTGCTGAAGAATCTCGCCCACCGCTGGAGGATGTCGTCCCTGTTCCGGAGCAACACGCCGTTCTCATCTGCGACGAGTCCCCCGGCTTGTCTCCCGCTAAGGCCCACTGATCTCTTGAGGTGTTGGTACAGTCCTCGCATGTCGCGATCTTTGTAGATTGCTTCGAGTTCAATTACATATCCGTCCAGGTGAGCATAAATGCCCGTTTCGACTGCTGTAGCCACTCCCTCACACGCTGCTTTGGTTGTGGGCAAGCCTGCCACCGAGGTTGACGGTGGCTACTACCATCTTGTGGTCTGAGTCTGCTTTTACTGGGCGAACCGACTGGGGGATCACAACCACGTTAGATACTCGGCCGTGATGTGCCTGCCTTGTCAGGATGTAGTCAGGGCGCTTGCAATCGGTTCCAGACACACCGTTGTATGTGTGCCATATTCCGCCCTTGCGTGTCTCAAAGAACGTGTTCGTGAGAGCTAGCCTGTTTTCCGTTGCGAAGTGCAACAGTAGCATGCCATTGTCGTTGAGCTCAGCGCGCCCGTACATTCCTATTACCCTTCCGTCCCCTCCGTCCAACCTATACACCGTCCGCGCGTTGACGTCCATTAGGACATACACAGTCTTTGGAAAGGATCCTCCGCACTAGACTGTCAAGTTTTCCCCAGAACACGCGCTTGCTGTCGGCGGTTGAAGGTTCGGTTGGAGGATACGCGGCTACGAAGTTGACCGCTCCACGCTGGCCTGCCAACAGAAACCTCATAGGCATAAGGCGTTCGTCGATGAACTCCGTAGTTAAGGTGGATGTCTTGCACAGTGACTCTTTGACGGCTATCCCCACACCATGGACTCCACCAGCCTCCGTGCCACAGCAGAATTCCCGGAAACCCGCTGCTGCAAATTCCGTTCGACCTGCCCTACGTGTCTCCTGCATTCCTACCACCAATACGTCTTGTCTCGCTGCCTCGTGTAGAACGCTGTAGGCTCGCCCGTATCCGTTGGCCCCGTTTACAGCCAACGTCCGCACATTCCAGGTTGCTACCCTAAGCAGTTGACCCTGCTGTCTCTTTCACGCGGCGCGCGCTGCTCTCTTAGCTAGCCTACGCGCCGCCCGACCCCTCCTTTTCCTCCATCTTCCCCTCTTTTTTTGTTTTTTTGCTATTTTCTTGCGAACACTCGGGCTAACGTGATAGTTACCCCGGTTTTTGCCCCCGGTTTTTGCCTTGTTTCCCATGGAGTTGTCTTCTTGTCCCGGAGCGGTGTGGCCCTCCATCTCTGGACTCTCTCCTTTCCTCTCTCTGGGGCATACCCCCACGGCGTGCGGTCACTCCGCCACCCTCACCGTGCTCTCTGCCGCTGCATAGCCCCAGCGTTCAAGCCGCGGCGTTAGGATCCAGTCTCATTTTGCAGCTACCAAAGCTGGCGGTTCACGAGCTACCCCGATCTCACGACAGCAGTAACTCCCAACCGCCAAACTCAGGATCCCCCTTTCAGCAGTGCTAGGGACCGTATATCCGTCTTTGCTGGGTGGTCTTTCGAGGTCTAGATCCACCTGCGGAACCTGGGCCTACCCCAGGGATGGGCGGGGGCAAGCCGGGGAGAGTATGCAGAGTTGAGACGTTCAAGGTGCTGCTTTGCTCCTCACTGCTGTGGGAAAGGCAGTCTGGATAGGTTGACATGTGCTCGACGCCATCGCATTAATCGGAGGAAACTTACAGAGGGCCTTGTCTTTCTTCGTAAAATTCGGCGGTTGAGAAAAAAGCACCATAGGAAGGTTACGGCTTGTTTCGTTGAAGAACTGTTGCTGTTATTTATTTCGTCCAAATTGTCATTTTGAACTCCGGGGACATGTTCACGACGTTGCGAGTACACCGTAGCAGTTCGAAGCACCGGGAAGACAGTGCCTACTCCAGCCCCACTCCCGTCCGTTTTGTTTGGTGTACTTTGCGTTTTTCTTGGCGCAACAGGTACGACCTGCAGGACTTCCCGACCGATGTGGTCTGGCCTCGCGACCTTCGTCGCTTATCTTTCGGCGATAATTTCAACGGCAGCATCGAGGCCGTGCGTTGGCCCGCCCGGCTGGAGGTCAGTCCTTGCCCCCATCTTAGCTTGGCCGGCCAACTTTATGCGAGGAACTCAGTCTGAAACTTTCCCTCGCTGCAAAGCTTGCTTGCATCGAACGCGTTTCGTTGTAAACGGCGACGCGCGCAGGTTATGTGGATGGGCCAGAGCTTCAATCACCCTGTGGCGAATGTCGAGTGGCCGGCATCCTTGAAACAGCTAAGGTTTGGGCGCGCCTTCGATCAAGACGTTGAGCGTGTGCGATGGCCGAGTGATCTCGAGGTACAACGCAGAAGTTAGACAATGAATGAGAGCCGGGGG